TGTATAAAAATATCAGTACAAATAGGCAGTATACCTGTATTGGCAATAAGCGCCTTTTTGGAAAAATTTAACACGTAAATTGTGCTGAATATAAGCGCACCATGAGTTTATTGTGGTCTTTCACATTTCATGAAGTAGGGAAAAGACAAAACAAAGCGGCAGCTGCTAGTGGGCTAGCTGTAGCAGCTCAGTGAGGAGTGATTTGGTACTTTCGAAAACTGATATTCAAAGATTTACGGTAAATCTGAGAACTATGCGGAGCTTGTGTCTCTTTCGACTAATTATCAATGGAACATCAACACTTTCAATTGATACACTGTAGGAAGAAGCTGATATTTCAAAATAAAAGCACAGGTTAATCATGAGGGAAATGAAGGACAAATAAAATATTGGCAATAAGCCTTTTTGGAAGCAATTTAACACATACATTGTGCTGAAAATAAGCAAACCTTAAGTTTATAGTGATCTTACACACGTCATAAAACTTTTAAAAATTGATTTTTAAAGACTAAGGGTAAATCTGGGAACTATGTGGCGCTTGTGTCTCTTTGATTCTTTCAATTTATAAGCTGTAGGAAGTAGCCAGCATTTCAAAATAAAAGCACAGGTTAAGCATGAGGGAAATTGAGCAACAATAAAATATTGGCAATAAGCGCCTTTTTGGAAAAACTGACATGTATTTTGTGCTGAATATAAGCGTACCATGAGTTTATTGTGTTCTTTCACACGTCATGAGTTGGAGGAAAGACAAAGAGAAGCAGCAGCTGCTAGTGGGCTAGCTGTAGCAGCTCAGTGAGAAGTTATTAGGTACTTTTAAAAACTGATATTCAAAAATTTACGGTAAATCTGGGCTTGTGTCTCTTTGATACTTTGAATTTATAAGCTGTAGGAAGTAGCTGACATTTCAAAATAAAAGCATAGGTTAATCATGAGGGGAAATAAAGCAACCTAAACACAGGACCTCAAAAAATTCAACTGAAATTAAATTGAAAGCAAGATGATGAAAATATTATGTGATTTCCCTTGTTGATTTAGTAGTAATACAGGCCATGCACCAGGATGGTGGAGCCACCTTAGATCACCTCTCAGCCAGACAAGAAATGAGACATTGCAAAACCATCTTCCCCTCTAAAGAAGTCAATAAGCCAGTTTATCATGTCACAACAATAGAGGCTACAATGTCCAACCTTGGAGTGTGTAACCCCTGTCAGAGTTACAACAAGGGGACATGCAAAGCTTGGTAAAAACAATTCACACAGTTCTGCACTACGAGCAATAAAAAGACAGCTGAGTAAGTGTTCGACTGATGATGAATATTCACCAAATGCTTCAACTACTGAAACAAAGACAGGAGATTAAATGGAGTCTTCCTGTTTCTTGTACCCTGAGCTGACCTAACAACACTTGAAGTAGCATGTTGCAGAGGTTCTTGAAAAGCCTCTATTCTGATGGTGTTAAGCAGGTTTTTTAAAGATACAACTTTATTTTAGAGCGGTCCAGCAGGAAAAGTTTGGCGTTGTTGCTGAAATTAAGCTGCTAGTCACATCTATCTTTCTAATTCAATGTTAGCGTGTTGTCTGTACCCTTCATCCCACATTGCAAATCTGCCTTGTGAGGCATCTGCAGGTGTCTGATGTGACCGTTAATTGAAGTAAATTTATCCCCGTCTCCCGTGTGGCGGGCTGTAATGTGTCAGCACCGCTTCATCCTCCCTGACCCCCTCTGGACAGGTTTAAAGGTCACGTTCTCCGGGTCGCTCTCATCTACACCTTTCAGGTCCATCGCTTCTGTAGAGTGGACTTCTTGTGTCAGCCGCCACAGCCCAAAGCACTGCATGGTGCCTAAACACACAGTATATATCCCCTCCCCCTCTATTTTTCTCCCCTCTGCACTCCACTGTGGGCTTCAAAATGAGATGCATACTTCTATAAACACCTGCCACCACTGACAACCGATGTGGAATAAAACGAGCATATTTATCTTATGAGCTGAGTTTATCTCATGCGTGTGCTGTACTCAATTTCGATGCGTCTCTTTTCCTTTGGAGTGACAAATGAGATGGAAAATTCTCATGTCAAAAACAGGCTTTTTGAAGGCTCTCACGTTGCCGCCCTCCTCGGCGATGTCAGAACTGAACAGCACAGCGTGAAGAGACGCGGTGTAAGAAAGCTGGAGGTTTGAGTTGTCACAGGATGGTGACATTTCGCGTTGCACGTCATTATGATAATGAACATTCACTCTCTATCACAAGCACCTCTTGGGCAGCCTTCCTTTTAATGTACTTCTCTGAAGGTAACGGTCTCTGACAGTCTTATTTATTGCATTGCATAGCCGGGTTATTTCTGGAACCCACTTTGAAAATTTGCCACAGAGAATATCTGTGAAAATCTATATCAAAGTAGTTTTCCACAATGTATCATCGGGTGTTATGGGAAATAAACTCTGTGCTGAAAGCAATAATTTCATCTGCTGTCCCTCTGCTTACACTGTTTGTTGGCCTTGAATATGCATGATTGCTTTTTGACTGACTGAGCGATGATGAATCTTAAAAATTAAAAGCACAAAAATCAACTGTGCACGGCTTCTTAAAATGAGCTGAACCACCGGCTTAAATCTAGCATGAAATAAAGTATTCAGTCTCTGATTGCATATCTGCTCACACATAGCGTGATTGGGACGCCGGTGCACCTTAACAACCCTTTAATGATCTAAAACCACTGCAATCTTTTGGCACTGATGCATGACAATATTATCATTTAAAAAGCCTGTTGAGCCCCAGTGTGCTCGCCTTAGCACAAGAACAAATGATATCTCCTCTCATCTCAGGAGGTATATTCAATGAATTCACACTTAGAGGTTTTTAACAAAGCTGCCCGCCATTGCAGAGCTCGGCGCAATTACGAATTCTTTCTGGGGAAATGATTAAATGACTTTCATTTACCACGGTTTTTAAAACTAAAGCGCACAGGCAAAGCTGCCCTCCGCTGAGACCGGCTCAGTAAAAGCTTTCCTCTGTTGCTCCGGTTTTGCAAGCTGATCCCAAAACACATCCGCACCTGCAGACGAAAACATGGGCACAGACGCTCCGTGCAGTCTGTGCACTTACTACCTGCCACTCACATCCCCACTCCTGGGCTCCCGTTTGCCAAAGTTGCCATAGTAACACTTTGGAAAGACACAACTCCCATTGTTATGCAAGTCGTGCTCTTGATTGATGGAGCCGCAGCAAGTGTTAATTTCTGAGGCTAAGAACAACTTTGCACAGATTTAAACGAATAAGAGTGTTGTGAATCTCTCACACTTTAAATAGATTAAATCAAAATTAATCAGTGGTGTTAATTTTGGGAGATATTGTTGTTGTCTTAGTCCTAAGACAACCTTAGTCCTTAGTCCTTAGTCCTTTGTCCCGTCTTAGTCCTATAGTGCGAAAAACGCCCATTGGTTTCAGTCACGTTGTAGTTTTCATCTGATTTACATCAATTTAAAGTGACTGGGCCCACGCAGCACAATTTACGTCTATACAATCCAACTGCAAACTGAGTGGGGCATAATAACAGCTCTCTTCTCTAGGACGGAGAGTGCATTGGACGTTAATCATCATTCCATCCAGTCAAACACGTACTGTCAGCATGTCCGGAGTTTTGAGTGTTAATGTTGAGCTCTTGATTGATGGAGCCAAGGCCAGCGGTGGTTTCTGAAGCTTAGAGCTACTTTATCTAATCTTAAAAGAACAAAAGTGTTTCAATCACAGTAGGAGTGGATCTCTTAACTTTTTTGTTCCCTAAAATAAAAACTCACAGGTGGTGGAAATTTTGAAGTTTTTTGGTTGTAATGCTTATTTTTGGTGCTGATTTTCAGCTCTTAACAGACCAGAGATGTCCCTGAGCTTTAATTAAGCACACTTTCTGATTACATTCAGGAATAGACACAAACTCATATTTACCCAGCTCTTGGTGCCGCTAAACAAAGATATTAGATATTATTATTAACTCATTCAGTGCCAGGTTCATTTATGCAGTTTTCACCCAGTGCCACCATTGACCGCAATCGAAATTTCCGTATCTTTCAGGACCCACAGAATAACTTGTTCTTGGACTAGAATTAAGTGCAGTATCTCAAAAGAAAGGGGTGATTCTCTTCTTTCACTTCAGCATTTTCCTACTCTCTTCATAGAGAAAAAACACTCCGCAACTGGGCTAATTAGCATACTTGATGGCACACTTCTCACTGGGGAGGACTTGTTTTTGTTATTGTAACATGGTTATGACGTATTTGTCGGCTTTTCTGTGTTCAGAATGACCCCAAACTTATCCGCATGTCAGGAAGGAGCGCACTCTGGCGGGAAACAAAATAATCTGTCAAAATCCATCAATGGCACTGAATGAGTTAAGACTGAAATGTATCCATTATGCACATGATACACAGTAAAGCCAAATATAAGGTAAGATAAGCTCATTTTTCTCTGATAGAAAGTGCATTAGACTTTATTTATAAATCCAGTCCAATACTATTGGCTCGTCCAAGTTTTAGGTTTGTCAAGTTTTTACCAGTGATTTCCAGTCCTATGAGAAAATTCAGGTTTTTGTTGATTTTGGCGCCCCCTGTGGACAAAGCTGCCTTTGCTTACCTTGTCCTCTATATGCATTGGTAGTCTCCTCAGACAAAAATAATTTTTTCCTTCATTTTTATTTGTTTCACTCCTGGCAATGTAAACAATCTGGAGGAAGAAAACCTCAATTTCACTCAAAATGCAAATTTACTCTAGAAATAAATGGTCCATCCAATTAAAGTCAATCAAAATTAAAATAAGAAAGAAAAACAAGAAGCAAACTGACAGTCTTTAGTGAATCTTCAGCAATAAAAATCTCTGTTGTATTTTTCTACTGATCAGCTGACACCTACCCCCTCTCAGTGCTTTTAGGCATTAAAATTGAAATATAAAAATCATGAATCCTGCAGCTGATGGTCCTGTTTGCTTTTGTGTATCATAAAAAAGCACCAATATGAATTTCAGTCTGTTTCATTTATATCAAGAAAACTACTCACAGGAGCTTTAATTGTCCTGGAATTGTGTTTTTCTCTTTGTCTGGGGTGTTAACATTTTGTAGCATTAGATTTAACAGAAACAGATTATTATTGTTGTTATTTTGAAGTTAGCTCTGATTTGATTTAGTCTCTCTTATGTATGCATTGGCTAAAGTCTAAAAACATGTCTTGGTAGTTTAAATCCTTATGCATTCTCATCGGTTTGTGTTTGAAGTTGGGAAAAGTTTGTTAATCGGAAAAGAAGGCCCAAATTATTCGTCTCCTTTTTTACTTTTCTTGTAAGTACCTGGCTGGCACTGCCTTGAGATTGAGATTTGTAAAGAACAAAGAACATTAAAAAAGGAAGAAAAAAAAAAGCCAAACTAAACAAAAGAAAATAGCTGAGCTCTCCTCTAAATAGCCAGCTTTTACATTTCTTCAAGTTAAGAGCATCAGTGTTGTTAAAGTGCAGCTGGGGCTGAAAAATGAGAGTCCTGAGAGATGGTGTCAGAGGCTGCACCTGCCCACAGAGCCTGAATAATGCACCCAGACCTCAAGGACACCTGCTGTAGCTGGTACATCTGCGGCATCACGCGCACGCCCGCTAACAAAACTACATAACTTAAGAGCATGCATGTAGATATACGCGTGCACGGACCCGCTGAGCCAAAATAAACGCTCTTAATTTGAGTTAGGAGGCACGACTAAAAGGCATCAGTCACACACAGAGCGACACAGGCCTGTGTGTTCGCTGCTTGTCTACAGTTTCTCTGGTTGCAGATGAGTAAAATCTGTTATTCTGCGCTTATGTGAAACCCAAATAGCTTGAAACGCGCCTTGCAACTCTCTAGGGAGCAAACTGAGTTTATTTGATCAGTAAACACCCTCAATGCACGCCATGAGGATGTACATATCTGCTAATACAGGATGTCGTTACTGTAATGGTGTTGCATGAAAGTGGGACAGTCTTCTTTTACTTATTTTTACTTCTGCGGGTGAAAACAGGAAAACAATCAAGTCATCTCAGCAGCTTGAAAAAAAACAAACATCCCCAAAGCGATCCCAGCCTCAATTATTGATGACTCTCTCTGTCAAGCAACCATCAGATGGTTGTCGGGCTTAAAGCAGAGATTGGCGTCGAGGAGGGAGGTAGGATTTTTCATGCTTTCTGTGCCGACAATTTGAAAGCAATTACCTGAGCTGGAGCCTCGCTGTGAAAAGCCTGCTTCCTGCTATCTGTTTCTTGGGAGGATACTTATGATATTTCAAGGTTAGAAATGGAGGTGGTGAGAGAAAGAGAGTAGGTAGAGCTAAGGTGGAGGAAGAGAAAGGGAGCAGACGCAGGATAGAAACATGCTGTGTGCCACTTTTGCATATTTCTTCAGTGTGCTGGTGCCCTGTGCTGGAGCAGAGCAGAGCCCGGCTCATCAATACTGGATGAGTTATATCTCTGTACAGCAGGGAGCTGTCAGTAGGAGCTCAAACATGCCTCTACTGCCAACACTCGCCTCACTGTATCACCTGCGCTTCAGTGTTCTGCCATTAACTCAATACTCTTCAGTGAAATCGAATGTGACGTGTCATATGTTACCGCGCAGAAGTGAGAACTCAGACCTCACTCAGATACTCAGCGGGGAAAATGATAACAGAGGGATTATACGCTCTCTGCAGGAGGATGTCAATGCTGAAGACTGTTGGTAAACATTATTTATCTGTGTATTTAGATGACTTAAACTTAAAGTCAAAGTGTTACATAACCTGCAACTGACTTAGTTATGACTAATGCCGGGATTCCACCGTATGCAGATCCGTTCTGGAATAGCAGGCCGTAAAAAAACGCAATCATGCAGCGCCCACCGGGTCAGATTCGCTGGCGCAAGCGGAGGAAATGCGCTTGCGATATTACCAATATTTCTTGCAAGACTGGACGAGATCTCCTGAGATCTCACGTGTTTCACCGTGAGACACTGAATAAGATCGGCGGTTTACAGAAACGCCCACATCCGGCAACCCTGGCCCCTCCTATTATCATGTGAAAAACAGTTTAATATATTGACTTTATTTTATTTTGAAAACTAACCAGATAGTTTGCTCTGTAGCCGCATACAACTTCCACTGCCGTTCATGCTGTGCTGCACTAAATTGATGCCCCGTCCTGCGGCGTCCAGCAAAAATAGAGGCCTTGGCTATCTGATCCAACCATCGGAGCGGATCCGCAGCGAGGCCAGAGGGTGGACGCATTGTGTGGAATCTTGCACATTGATTATAATGCTTGTGTATTTAATCAGGCTGCTGTTCTAGAGTGGAGCGCAGCCGTTCAGTATCCTGTGAAGTTTAGCAGTTAGTCTTCAACCCAAACTTAAGGTCGTTACACACCTGTAAATTAGCGAAGCAAATAAATCCCTTTTTTTTTTTAAACCTAATAAAGTCAATCTAAGCTTCCAGACTGGCTACAAACTTCTGCCGAGCAAAAAATTGACTGTAATTTTTTTGACCCTGTAGCGAATTTTGCGAACACTCACAGGCGAATCTCACCTTAGGTGAGCCATTGTTCTGGATCAATCGGCTCTCTGTAGTTTGTCCTCTCCTTCTGCAAACGTGGAGTCAGCTGATGGAGCAGTTCTTGAAACTGTCCTCGGGACATTCTTGAGTATTGTCAAAATTTCTCAAGATACAATCTAAGCTCCTAGATCGTTGAATGGAGCTCCCCCATCTCCTGACACAAGGTCCGTTTTGGACGTACCCAGACACTTCGATTCTTCTTTTTCTTTTTGTTATTTAATAGGCTAACAACCATGACCAGGTCATCATCACTTAAGGATGTAGTCGCCATTATTTCTCCTTCCTCTCTCTCCCCCTCTGTTCTTCAGTGGCGTATAATTATGCAAACATGAAAATCGTATTTGCATCGCACCAGGAATGTGAAGGAAAAAGCGCAAGCCGAATATTTCGCATTTTCGCATCACTTCAAACCTGACTGGTGGCCTCTATCCACTCTCAACATTAATTTAGATATCTGTAGAAGGTTCTGACAACATTGATGAGAAGAAAATAACAGACAAAGTGGGAAACAAGAATATTTGTATAAAGCTGTATGAAGACAATAATACACATCGCCTGAAAGATCAGCTCACAATGATCGATATGAACTAGTTGCATTGCTGCCTCCACTGTATCCTATCACCTATCATGCTGAGTGTACAAGGCAACCTGCTGAATAAATGAATAAAACCAATACAGCAAAGGTGCAGAGGTCCCATCATGCACTGCTGCAATAACAGGATGACATTTCTGGTTGGTTGAGCCAACAACTTTCACACCAACACCTTGTCCTCCTGCAGGTCAGCTGCCCTGGGGAGGGCAGGTGTCTCTCTTCCAGTGGGAGTCCTACACAGCATGAGAGTGCCTGTGACATGCAGTGAAAAACACATGTGTTGTACATATGCATGAATGCATGGGGCCTGTGTATGTGTATGTACATGCCTCCAGCAGCGGGAAGAGGTTTGGAACATAACCTGGGAATTTGTGCAACACCTGGAGCCAGACTTCCTCAACCTCGTTTGTGAAGCGGCACATCTGATTGGCCGATTTCCCCGGCATCGTAAAGGTGTATTTTACACGGACAGCTGGTGCATTTTAAACGGACAGCTGGTGCTCCCTTTATTCGAATTTCTTCCTTTTCTTCCTGATTTTTTAATGAGATCAAATTGATTTCTATTGCTGTGTGACAGAAGAACTCATGTCAAAGAGGAATTTTCAGTGTGTGTGTGTGTGTGTGTGTGTTTGTGTGTGAATCAAAGAAAAACGTGGACATGGTTTGACAGAAGGGGGACGAGTGTGGGTTTGCAGAGGGATGATACAGATATCTTTGGAAAGAAAAAGAGACAGAAGGACCCCTTTGCTATTATCTCTCTTTCATAGCACGGGACAAGCTGATGTTTGAGTGAACATGAGCCAAAACCAACATGGCAGCTCACAATTAAAGGCCTAATAAATTAGGGCACAGTTAACAGCGGCTGCGTGGCAACATGGCCCAGACTGAGGGCTGCGAGCGACATATCGAGGATACCGCGGCTACATGTTGGAAACTGACTAATGGGAAGCGATTTGGGGTTGGCCCAAGATATAATTACCGTCCCCACCTCTCTTGTTCAATGAGGCCTGAGGCCTCCTGGGAAAGGCCTATTTCAGTCAGGTAATGGAGAGCCCATGCCCAGGAGTGGATGATCAAATTGTCTGCGGCAATCTGCTTTTTGCTCTCCTGATCGTCCCCAAAGACACAAAGAGCTGACCCAGGGATTTTTTACCCCCTATTTTATAAGAGCCAAGCCAGCTTTGGAGGCAAAGCCCTCCCTTCCCATCACAGTTGTTGGATGGTGGCGGCAGTGTGTGTGTGTCTGTGTGATTTATGTGTTGTCAAGCTAACAGGAGCTTAATGAAGTTGTTCTTGCAAACACATGTTTGGGCTCTTAGGGGCCAACGCTACTGCAGGGAGAAAGGAGATAGCATCCATAACCATAGGAGACCTGAAAAGACAGAGAGAGAGAGAAGAGAGAGAAGCGAAGAGAGAGAGAGAAAGAGAGCGCACATAGATATGATAATGTGTGGCCGGGCTTTGTTTGAAACATCTGCTCAAGGGTTCGACTCAAAGATAAGACGTCACTTTATCCAACCAGCTGAAAAAACTCACTTAACCTTCACCCGTGTCAGAATGATCCAGCGTAGACACCACTTAAACAGCACAGAGAGCACAGGTGCAGCCATTTAAAATAATCAGCACTGCACCAAATGCAGACAAGCAGTTACATAGCAACCGACAAACTCAGAATAAAGCAGAGCGTAAAAACAATCAAATAAAGACACATATGTGTAAAAATGCTACATTTGCACAGTAACTGAATAACCAAAATGAGAATCCTCTCTCCTCATATATCATGTTCTTTTTCACATTTTACCTGTGTTAGGCCGTCAGCTGTATAGGAGCTCCTCTCTTCCCTCTTTTAGCTGTCGGTACTTTGTTCCAGACGTTTCAGATCTTCATCCTCGGAGAGACTCAGCCTCACCTTTTGTCTCCTCTTCTGAGAGACTAGTTCCCTTGAGTATGCTCAGTCTATCTTCTTCCCAGGCCTTGGTAGAGAGCAGGTTGTGTGGCTCTGGTCCCTTTTTTTATCAGCACCTGGGAATTAATGCCTCAGTGCTTTACTGCATCCTATTCTGTTTGTCCTCCTGAGGTTCCCTACTTTTCTCTCCTGTTACACATGGACAAAAACATGCCTGGCATGATTTCTCTCTGGACCTGTCTCTGCAGCAGATTGGTCTGAAGACCCATACACAAAAATGTGACAATCCAGATATTTGTGTGGCATCAGCTTGGCATGTTACTGCAAGGAAGCTGTAATAAATACGCACCATCTGGTTCAGGGGGGGAAGAGGGTTTCATTTTTGCAGGGATTGCACAAAACAGCAAATTCCTGCAAGTCTGGCGACATTAATGTGGGAAATGACCCCGTATGACACACGGCATTAGCATGGTCGTGTTTAGGACAGACTGGCCAGAGCTCTCATACAACGAACGACGCCTCATCGAAAACAAAATGAAACTAAACAATCCAGTACAACAACTTTTAGTGTCTTTGTAATCGAGCATCTTTGCCTGGTGTTGGCTCTTGAGCTGAATTTAAGGCTGAGGCAGAAATTATAGTGTAGATAGGTGGGATTACCTTATCAAAACTATCCTCCTTATTGGCTGATTCAACACATATGTTAACTAGAATAGGACGCAAGAATCACATAACTATAGAATGACATTAGCCACTTTATACATATCAATTACAACGTCATTTAGCAGACGCTTTTATCTAAAGCGACGTACACACAAATCATACACCAGCGGAGGACACACACTGGGAGTAAGGTAGGTCAAGTGTCTTGCCCAAGGACAAAACGTACAGACTAGGGATAGTGGGTAATCGAACCGCCAACATTCCAGTTGTTAGGCAACCGCTCTACCTCCTAGGCTACTGCCAGGCTAGCCAAAGTTACAGGCACACCAACACCATCAAATAGACTCTTGAATATTATCCATTATTACACTCGTTAAATGGGCGTGAGGTCCGAGCATAGACTGTAATTGATAGACATAGCATCAAAGTGGAGTTTTGAAGCCTATCAACTGTGATCACCATATCGGTAATGCTGCCTCTGCCTTTAGTTTGACCTATAAAGTGCCGACCTGTTAGTCAAATCAGCCTTGCCTCTCAGTGGCCTGGCTACGTCTGCAGCCAGCCTCAAGTAGGCACTCTGGGAACTGCAGTTTTTAACACTGCAATTTTGTAAGTTGATGCATGAGTCGAAGAAGCTCAGACCCATCTACTTCTATGCTACTGTCCGTCAGTGAACTTCCTTTGTAGCTGCATTGACAAAATAGTCTTGTGAGTGAGGCCAACACACTCATACACTTGTGGCAAACAAATCTCAACAATAAACAGAAGTATTGTAGTTTTAATTATCAACTATATACCGTATATCTAAAGGTATTTGGTGGGGAAAGCTTGGCCTTCCAGTGTCCGTTGATTAGACCCTTCTTGCCGGGAAATATCGTCTTTCAAGCACTGTGTTCGTGTTCACAGGTCGTCTTTGATGAAGTGTGGTCTCAAAGCCCAAGGCGAGACAACCTCTTTGTTGGAATCATCAAAGGCTATGCTCTTAAACATCAGAAAGCCTCACGCTGAGCCACAACAGCAGTATATAACTCTTAACATGACTTTCAAAGTGACCGACATACGTTGAATTCACAGTGTTGATTTTTAATTGACAGGTATTAACAAAATTAGACGTGGATCTAGTTTGTTTCGTACTTGAAAGCAGTTATTTTTGTGTATCTGTAAACCATGAATCAACAAACCAAACTCTGTGCCGAGTGCTCGCTCACGCTCCGGACTGTTTTCATGCTTTTGCATCAGAAAATCAAGGTTTATGGGAAACTCAATCCTTATTTCAAGCAACACACCCTGCTACTTGTAGTCGTTTTATCCCTCGGGCTTTAAAAAGATCAAGAATTATTGACGATACAGTATATCTGTTACAGGCTGACTGGGAGAGGGGAACGAAAACAAGGATGACTCTCCTGCCCTCCTTCCGCGCCGCGTGTTTGAAAGTGTTTTACGAGGAAAAACGGGAGAAAGGAGCCGTGTAGATAAATCCATGCCTCACAACTCTCACATTGTTTGCTATAATTAAACTCTGCTTTCCCTCGTGGATGGTGAAAGAGACTTCAGTGAGTGAAAACATGTCAGAAGCTCCCGGTGGGTTGTTTGTATTGTCAGTGATAGTTTATCAATACAGTGGATCTTAATCTTTCTTCCTGTGGCGTTGGGGTCCCTCGGTCTCTCCACATCGACCTTTACCAACTGGCATTACAACATGACTGAATGACTTCTGGTGCGAGGAGAGATTGTCTCTGAAGTCCCCATGGAAATTAACACAGCACCAATGTTTTCCCTCCAATATCCGCTCAAATGGCTTTTTAATGAAACCGTAAAAGAAGCCCTTAAATTTAGCAATTACCCGTAAAAAAAACTTTAATGCTCAGACAATGACTCATTCCAGACATTGTGGTGTAGTAAGTGGCCTTTTGGAGACACGAGGTCACCAGTGATTTAAGGCGACACAGTGGAAGTCGTAATGCATTATAAACGGGGATGTGGATGATTCATAGTCTTCTATTTTGATGGGAAAACTCCATTAAAGGTTGATGAATTTTGGGGGAATCGCACACACACCCGTGCAGGCAATCGTGCCCCCAAAGCATAATAACGGCAGCCATATTGGAAAGGAGCAGCCGTCTGGAAGCATTTTATCAAAATCATAAACTCCCTCCCTCGGGGGGAGCTCCCACTTCTTCACGGGGCCTTGACATCAGAGGTTAGCGAGAGGTGATCGTCTCTCTATCTGCAGCCAATAGAAGAATGGGACTCCCACATGTCCCCGCTGGCCCTGAAGGCTATCAGGTCCAGGAATCTATACCTTGAAATGCTCCCTGTCCAGTGTCCTCTTTCATTCATCATTGCCCTTATAATGTCCGGAAGAAATATGCTGCTGTGAGTATCATCTTTCACGCGTGTCACAGGTTGAGCCTCCCATTTGTTCTGGAGTGAAAGAGTTCCTGTAATTCTTCTGGGTGGACGCTGCAGGCCTGAGAGTCCAGCACTTCAGTCTGTTTAAACAAAAAGACAACAGAGCTTTGGCAGCTTGGGAAAATAAAAATAGAGAAGATTGAGATTAATGGACTTTGTTAAGTTTTTCTTCAGCTCAATGACTCAAAAAGACTTTTTAAGCGATCACATTCAAGCATCTAATAAACGAAACTGCATTAAAAACACATAATGTAATATTCTGACAAAGCATTTTACTTACGATGCCATTTTTGCATTTCAGAGAGAGACGTTTTCTTGATTTGTTTAATGTGTTTACCCTCGACACATCCGCATTAGGATTCTTTTCAGCTTTTTTATGTCGCCATCAAGCTTTTCCTTAAAAACCCAAACTATCAAAGCCAACTCTGTTTAAAGTTTTCATAATCCCTGGAACAAGATATTAAAATGAGTGAAGCAATCCGGCCTTGAAAAGATTATTTTAGCTTAAAAAAAATAAGTAATTCTCAAGTAGAAATGTGAGAGAAAAATCTATGAATAAGAAATACAACAATGCTGATTTATTCCATCGTAAATGAATTAGAAGCCCCTCTTCTTTTTGCCTTTCAGCTCTTAAGTAGTTGTATTGCGTCTGTGGTGC